GGGGAACAGTATAGAAAGTAAACATAGATACCAGAGACAGTGTGGGAAGAGAGCGGGAGATGGCAGAAGGTAAGAGATAGGGAATCAAGGATGTGGGGAAAAAAGCAAAATATATAGGAAATAAGAAATGGAAAATTATTTGTTGACAATAACATGTATGTTGATATGCTTGATTGAGACAATATACAGTGTACTCTGGATGGAAAATCTCATTTTGTATGCGGTAGTGATGTACAGTGAATGAATGGAAACAAATAAATTTAAATAAAAAATATACACACAAACATATATATACACATACATACACATATATATGCATATATGTGTATACATACATATATACATATATATATATCCTTTTTGATGTCAGAGAACATGGCAGAGAGAGAGAGAGAAAGAGCGAGAAACCCATAGGGCCTGGTCATGCCACAATCCTTTTCCCTCAATTTCTCTATCCCATCAGGATTCTAGGCACACATAAATTCATGCTTGTTTGTTGCTACTGGGGCTGAGACTCCAGCTACAGTTGGCCATTTGGAATCTGGCTTGCTCTGTACAGTGCTTTTCACTGTGCTATGGGACTGGCCCCAAAGACTAGTTTTGTTGAACATAATTTGATGACTGTTCTCATCTACAGGCGTTAACATTTTTGTGATTAGGAAATAATGATTTTGATAGAATTTCCTGATTTTAAAGTATCATTTTTATTGGCTGATAATAACACAAGAGAATGGCTATTACATGTGAGTGTTGTTCTATGTTCCTTTATGAATTTAGTTTTTGGCTTAGGTATTATAGTCTATGCTCAGATCAAATATGTGTCTTTTTGGTTATCTCATTTAAACCTTTACTGGTTTCCAAAAGGTTGTTTTCAAAAGATTATCTTTAAATACCAAGAAGTGCTTACTTGGAGACATGCAGGGTAAATTTCATAAAATAGAGGTAAAAACAACATTAATGGTTAACTTTGCCTTTCTGAAAGTCACTGTATTTTGGATACCTCACTTGGTGGGGTTTTCAAAAATCATACTGTGTCAAGTTGTGCTCTGGGAGAGTTGGAGTCACAGAAATCTGTTTGTATTGGCTTAATTCCAGGAAGGTGAAAACATGGGAGGTAAGTGTTTACTGGAAGAAATAACACCTGTGTTAAATCAGGCTCTTACCAAAGGGAACTAAGAAAATGGGGAAAAATAAACAACCCTAACTTCCTGCAACTCCAACAGGTCGGCCCCAAGTACTGGGTTAGTAAGCAATTTCCACAAATAGAAATGGAGCTCCATGCTGCCTATATGAGTACGCGGATGAATAAGTAAATTCAAAAAGGCAGCTTTGCCATAGGTATACCACACTATGAAATCTGAGTGAATTATCTGGAGCAGAAAAATGATAGTTTGGAGATTGTGTGTGTGGACTGTGGCGCTAGAGAGACTTCACTTTTAAGCCCTGCTTTACCGTGCATACGCGGTGTTACGTTGGACAAATCTCTTAACTGCTCTGTCTTGTATTCCTTATCTGTAAATGGGGGGTTACAGAGCCTACCTTATAAGGTGATGTAATGATCTAAATGAAATATTGTATGCAAGGTTATGCATTTTTGTGTATACTTTTAGGGAAGAAAGGTAACGTAAATGGTAAAACAAGAATAAAAACATTTTGGGCCAGTAGGCGGCAGGGTGATTGAAGTGCAAGATCCTACATGGTTGAGTCTGTGGTTGGAGTCCTGAACTTGGTGACCTGAAATACATGCTGGGTGTATTTGTGTGCTTGCCCAAAATCTCAAGAGAAGAATGGAGAAGAAGGGATTACAGCATGGCCACCACCTACTCCCCTGGGGGAGATGATTTCCTCACTTTCCTTCTTTCTCTGTTTCTATCTCTCCAGTGAGTGCATGCACCCTATGGAAAAAAAATCTTAAAAAAAAAAAAAAGAAGAAAAAGGAAAAAGAATAAAATCATTTTAGAAGGAAAAGTTGCTTGAAATTTGTTAATATTAGTTTACTAATTGGCAAATACCTAATATCTGATTTGGTCAGTAAAATATTGACCAAGGATAAATCAATATCTTAAATAAGCAACTTTACATGATGGTAAAGACAGCAGCTCGGGACCAGCAGTTAGCATAATGACTATGTCACTGGACTCCCACATAGTTGACCGCGGTTCGCGTCCCGAACCCTGTGGCTTAAAACTCATGCCAGGCGCGTGTGCATGTGTGCCTAAGATCCTGAGAGGAGAATGGCGAAGAAGGGATTGTGGTGTGGCCATCCTCCCGCTTTCTGTCTCTCTGTCTCTGTCTGTCTGGTGAGTGCACGTGCCCTATAGCAAAAACCTCTAAAAGGAAAAAAAGAAAAAAAAAAAAAAGACAGCAGCTCTATTTATAGAGGTGGCAGTAAGCAGCATATCAGCTGTTCCTAGCCAATAAAAATCCCCTACGTCAAATTGGATGGGAAAGCCCAACATTAGAAGATTCTATGTAAGGAGTCATGTGCATGTGTTAAGGGACGGTGACTTTTCCTACAATAGTACACATCTTTTAAAAATTGCTTTGATTTTTGTTTTTCACTTAGTAGATCACTTAAATGAGCATTCAGGGCCTGAACTTTGGGTAGTGCAATAATTCAGAAATATTCCAATTATCTTCTTTCCTGATACATGGAAGGATTACTTTCCTCTGCTACCTTTGAAGTTATGTATGTCCACATGATTTGACTGGGCAAATGAAATGTGAGAGAAGACACATCTCTTGTTTCCTCTGTTCTGGTCACCAGGGAGGCACATGTTGACATGGAATACACAGCAGCCACTCTGCCGGCTGGTGTGGAACACGTTATAAATGAGAAACACAGGGTGTTAGCTAGTGAGATTTGGGGTTGTTTATTATTAAAGCAGAAGCTAGCCTATCCAGAATAATACATGCAGTGTAAAGCCGTGTTGGTACTTGTGGATCAATATAGATTCAGAAGTAGCTTGGTGACACAACTGAATATTTTAACGATCTGATGCTTACAAAGAATGATTCTTCAAAGACAAAAAACAACCTGCAAATAAAGCAACCCCCTCAGAAGCTATATCCTGAGATCTCTTGCTTTTTGTAACAGAATTTGCCCTCCCTGTAGATACTGCTCAGCTTGGAAGACTGATCCAAAGAAACTTTCTCTTTTACTTCTGATTCAGACAACCATCATTGTCAAAATGAAACTGTGGACTAATGATCTCTTTCATTACCACTTCCGCCATCTCCTTCCCTTGTCAATTCCCTTTCTGCCTATTTCCTTCCCTCCTTTCCTTCCTGAAAAAATTTGAATGAGTTCCATATAAATTTCTGTGTGATTTGGTTCCAGAGAAGATCCTATCTAGTCATTGGTAGATAGATACTAGATACTAGATACTAGTAGAGCCTTTTAAAGCAAATAATACTAATTTAAAGTGGTAAATGTTACACTTGACATATTTACAAAACAACATGTAGGCTCAGAAATAACATGAAGTGACCACCATCTTATGTGGGTAGGCCTTGAACTTGATACAGACATCTGGCCCAAATACACAGACATTTTCATAAGAAAATCTACATTTAGTCATCATCTTTTAAAATTTTGTTAAGTCATAAGTTCGTGAAGACTTTGAGTAGGCAGAGACCATTATTTTAAAACAACAAAAAAAGAACCATTAAATACAAAGAGTATTTGAGAAATGTCTGAGAAATGCCTATTCAGTTCTGTTAGGCCAGGATGTAGACCTTTCCAACTCGCATGACCTTCTCACTGTTGGAACAATCAATGGTGTCTGAAAAAAACAGCAGATGGAAATAATAAAATAACAAAGACGAGACAAACATCGTCAAGTGATTTGGACTGTAGCCCAAACCCAGCAAAGTTAAAAAATATTTTGCAGAAGATTGTACACTTAAAAGCCATAAACTGTGACCAGTTATAGGAATTTATTACTTTACTTTTAATGAAGTTTTTGTCAGCCATGGTAGAATTACAATAAATGTGAAGAACAAGTTTGGAATGTACTTTTTTGTTGTTTTTTATTCAGCAAAGCATAAAATTTAAAAACACACACACACACAACACCATAAAGTTGTTCAGTAAAGAAACAGAAAGCAAACAAAAATACCAGAAAATGTGCCACAAAAGAAACCAAACACAGCCAAGTTTTCC